TGATATGCTTTTGTTCAGATGAAAACATAGGAAGAATTTTATTGACTTATAAGTGTTCTTTTTAAGACAAGAATAAATTTCAACTGTTGGCTGAAGACCTTTTGAAAATCAAAACTGATAATTTTTCATTAATAATAAAATGTTTTCAGACCAATAATTTCTATATGGTGTTACATTTATACAGATTAGGAACCCATTGTACTGGTTAAAGCAATATTTATATGTTAGTCAACAGTGTCTGTAAAGCAATTATGCACATTTTATTATTTGTTAAATTGACCTTAAATAATATGTTAGATGCACTATTTTTAAAAAAATGAATTCTAATTTCTTTAGTCATTGACTTGAAGCAGGCAGTTTATAAACTCAGTTTCAATAGCAATCAAAATATTTTCCTTTCCTAGAGCCATTTATCGACATCTAAGAGGAAACAGTGCAATATGAGGATAGCATCTTCTCAACCAGCTTCCCTTGTTTTCTATTATTGGTTTTCAAATATTTTCCCCGCTGGCCTATATGACCCACTCACATGGACAGTTAGGATTAACCCCAACCATTTCCATCCCATTCGAGAAATAACATAAAGCAAGGGAGAGTGACATTTTGTAATGGTTACCTTGAATCTACAGCTTATTTAAGAAAAAGGAAATACTTTCATCTTTTTTCCACAATGTGAGGCATCCAAAATCATGAAAAAGCCTCACAGTACAGAATATTTTTAAAAGCTGGTTCAGTAGGGGGCGGGGGGAAAGGAGATGAGAAAAAAGAAAAGAAAAGAAACCTCTATAACTGCATAGAAGAACGGACAAGAACTTGAGAGCAATCCTCAAGAGGCCAAAAAATGACAACAAGCAGAATCCAGAGAAGGAATAAAATGCTGACGTTGGTATCTGTCATGGGAACATCTGCTAATCCCTAGAGGCCTATAGCTTCGTGCTAACTAGGCTATGTGACTAAAGAACAGAGATAGTCCCAGGGACTACACCAAGTGGGAAGTTGGATCAGAGACGCTCACCAAAAAAATAAAATAAAATAATAAAATCCCTCAGAGCTGATACCTCAGTGAAAGAATGAACTGTATTTTTTTAAAGACTCCATAATACACAGAAGAAAAATGAGTATTTGCTTATTTCATTTCCATTAGCTCTGCACTAAGGAAAAATGATTATCTCTTCTGAAAATTCTTAACCAGAAGCCTGATCGCAATTGGATTGGAGCTGAAATCATATTCTTTGCTTCTGTAGCTCCCCACAAGTCTCAGCCAACGATTTAAACTGGTCATGAATGAGTATTACCACGCAGAGGCAACCTCAGGAAGAAAACACCTTCAAAACCAAACTTGAAAGAATTACCACAAATAAACTCCCAAAACACATGAACGCACAATCAAGAAAATCAAAAACATGAGGAACCAACCCACTCTGAGCAAGAATTAGTAGAAATAACAAGTAACAAGATCAGATCCACTTAGATGGCATATGTTATAACAATCAGGTACAGAATTTAAATAAATTAGTTTCCTCTATTTAAAGATATAAAACAACTGACATAAAGCATATATATAGGTGGGATTTTTAAATTTTTACAAACTGCTAGAAATCAATAAAAAAGACAACCTACTTTAAAAATAATAGACAAGACTTGAACAGCTACTTCACAAAAAAAAAAAGAAGAAAAAGAACACAAATGGCCAATTCACATATCAAAAAGTGTTCAATATTACCAGTACTCAGTAAAAAAGGAAACCAGGGTAAGATCCCATTACACACCAAAGCATATGGGCAAATTTTCAAAAATCCAACGATGTCAAATTTTACAAGCATGTAGAGCAAGGCAGAATCTCATACAGCTGGTAAAAGAATAGATTGATACATATACTTTGGAAAAGTTGAGCACTATCTATTAGAATGGAAAATACCTCCGATTGCTATGATCCAATGATTCCATTGGATAAACACACAGAGGAACTCACGTTTGAATGGTTATAGTAGCATTATTCATAATACCAAAAAAAAAAAAGAAAAAAACCTGGAAACTATCTAAATGTCCATCTATCTGTAGTTGACAAACTATGACTACATGCAACAACATAGATAATCACATGATATAAGCAAAAAAAAAAAATCTACAGTATATCAAGTCTAAAACAGACAAAATTGAACTATGTTATCTAGGGGTGCATTTATTAGTGGAAAATTAACAAGGAAATAATTTGTCATAAAAGTCAAGACAGTGCTCCCTTTGGGGTGGGAAGATAATGATAAAGAGAGGCAAAAGGCAGGCTTTGGAGTGATAGTAATGTTCCTAACCAGGGTAGTGGCTATATGGAAGAATTCTTTTAAATATTTATCAAGCTGCACATATAATTTTATATTGCTAATATGTTTATATGGCAATACAAATGTATAAGTTAATATGGAAACAGAAATTTAAATCTTAGAGGTTTTGCAGAGGTCATTATTATTTGATGAGTATTCCATGTGTTCCTCTACATTTCACAGTCTCCTTTGAAATTAGTTTGTGGCCAATGTGATTATTTTTGGCTAATGGGCTATTAGCAGAAGTCATA